ATATTAATATAAATGCCAAAAAAGAAAAACAAAAAGAATAAGACAGGTTTAAGTGTTTCTTCAACATGAAGATAGCGGAGAAATTGTTAAAGAAACATCAGTATTTGAGATTGCTTGTCCTATGTGCAAAAAGATGTTAGAACTTAAAAATGAATTAGAAATAAAAAATAATAAAACATGTAAATGTTCATGTATTCCAACAAGTTTCAAAATAAGTAAAAATGATAAGAAAATGAGTATTGATAAAACTAAAGACAGTATCAACTTAGAAACTGATGTCCATAGTATAACTTTTAAATTTGGTAGGCAAGCAACACCAACCGATAATAATGAAAACGAAACTCAGGAAACTGTTAAACAAATCATGAAAAATTAGTATTTAAAGAGTAGATTTAACATAATTGCACTTTATAAATATAAATAAATAAATATTTAAATAAATATCTAATTATTTATATAATCATAATGCCAACTATGAATGGACAAGACCATAGAATTATAACTTTTGACAATGAAGAAATTAAAGACCTATTCGATGGTGATAAAAACTTTGCTAGACAATTGAGTATAGAATATTTTTATTGGTTAGATGCTAAATTTAACAATAAATATTTTATGAAAGGTATAACTAAACCAGATAAATTTGATAAAATGTTGAAGTTTTTTGAAATTACAGGTAACGATGAAGGTTTAATAAAATTGAAAAATAAAATTGATGAAAGACTCTTAGAATATAATTTATTTACATATATAACATTAAATTATTCAGGTAAATTATATAATAAAACGTATAATTAAATAAATAATTATCTAAATAAATATATAGTAATGTCTGAAAATGAGAATTATACTATTAATGATTTAATGAAGAAGATAACATTAATTGGTAAAAATATTAAAACCTTAAATGATATGATTAAATCCATTGATGACAAAATGAAACCAGTTGAACGCAATGAAGATAAAGAAAAAATCGAAAAGATATTTCAAGCAAAATCTATAGGAAGACCAACGGGTGATTATCCTACAAAGCAAAAGAAATACTGTGATATGTTGAATACAGGAAAAATCAAACAACCTAAAAACACCACTTTAGAATTTTACAAAATTACAAAAAATGATGATGGAGTATATGTATTATTTGAATAATTAATATCTAAATAATTCTAATAATATGAATGTATTAGAATTATTTAGCAAGAAGACCTATACAAAATACCTAGCGAATTAATTTGTGAAATCTTGGTGAGTTTGACGGATTAAGGGTTTTGAGTTTGGGGTTGGGCTTGAAACTTGAAATTTCTAGGTTCATCCAACGACAACACAGTAAAAAATAGGAATTCTAAAATTTGAAAATGATAGATTTAAGGGGAATATCCAAAAGTGCGCGTATACGCTTGGAACAGTGCTCACATATGCTGGCAGGAGTGCTCACATATGCTTAAGGAAGTGCTCACATATGCTTAAGGGAGTGCTCACATATGCTTAAGGAAGTGCTCACATATGCTTAAGGGAGTGCTCACATATGCTTAAGGGAGTGCTCACAGATGCTCACAGGAGTGCTCACATATGCTCATGGACAAGCCACGCTGTGCTCTGGAGTGATTGACATAGCATAATAACTTCTTAATCATACTATAATAATAACATTTATACCCTTATATGTTATAAGTGTAATATATTTATCGTTTGTAAAGATTGAATTATTATAATTTGCTTATCTCTTTCAAAGTGCGTTGTTTAGACTTGGCATGCTTCTTCAATTTTTTCGTGCTTTGGCTGATTGTTTTTGTTTTGTTTGATACTCTTATGATATTTATTGTTAGTATGTTGCTTTGATTTTTGTTGGTGTGTGTTTTTGAGTTTGGGTTCTTTGATGATTTAGAGTGTTGCTGTTTTGTTGGTATGCTTGTTTGAATTATTTAATGTTGCATGCTGTGATTAAATATTTTTGTTGTTGGTTGTGATTATTTTTTTTGTTTGCTTGTTGTTCTGGATTTTGTTTTCTGTTTGTTGTGTTGCTGTTGGAGAAAAAATAGTAGAAAGAATAATTCTTTGAATTCTCCTTTTACTATTTTTCCCCCACCACCCCCCCCAAGAAGCCGCGTGTTGTTATCCAAGATTTTTGTTATTTTAAGGAAAGTGCTTTCTGGCACCCCGTGGGGTGGGGTTTCGCCGAGGACCTCTGCGAGGTCCTCAGCCAAACTTCGGTTTTACTCTCCCACAAGTTTCGCCGAGGAATTGGGTGTTCGGGAGGCGGGTGACCGAGATATAGCTTTTCAAAGGTTGAGCCTGGCTCCGAGGGGTCCAAGCCTGGCAGGCGAAGAGTGTAAAACCAATCGAAACACTGAAGGGTTTGTGGAAGGGCCACCTCTAGACTGCAGAACTACTCTTTTAGTGTAGCTGCTGAGGAACCGTCATTTAAGAGACATGGTGCTACCATGTCCCAGCACCCTTCCAAAAGTCGAATTTTTGGAATCAACAAGCCAAGCGCGGTGAGCTATGTCTTTCAATGTCCCCCCGTAAGGCATGGCCCTAAAGGTACAGAGTTCCCTCAGCGTTCAAAGGCAATTCCGGCAAAGGCTGAGCATCAGGTGGGAGAGACGTTCCAGAAGCATGCCTCAATGAATGCGCGCTTTCCACGCAAGATTCCATGGCCCTGGTCAAAGGGCAAGGATCGTCCAGGTTGTTGCAAACGGCCCTGCTGGCATCCCCCCGATGTGATAGCTTTCGCTTGGGAGGCAATTCCTCCGCTTCTCGCAACATTCTTGGGGGTCATGGTGTTTCTCCTGGGCCCTTGAACCAAATCTCAAGATTCAATGTCAGAACGTGGGAAAGTAAGTAGGTGTTGCAACAAGCGGACAGAACATGGAAGGGTCGCAGGCTTTTTCCTTCACCGCAACTTGCCAAATTGGACAGATTATTTTTGCTAAACAGCCTATGGTGCCCGCATTTCAGGTGAGCCTTCTACGGGCTCTGAATAAATGGTTTTTTCTGTGCGCATCGCGGGATGACCAGACAGTAGGCTTTCGGCATGCCACAACAGTCAAAGCTGCTGCCGCACAGATACAAGAACTGAACAACGAATCAATCAATTAAAGGAAAGTTCCGCGTTGCACAACTGAGGGGCGCCGCGTGTTTCCTGCCAACTTGCTCTGCTGGCTGTTGTTCAAGGCTTCCAGAGAATACCGGAGGAAATCCTCCGCCTGCGGGCGCAATTTCTCCTGGCGCCGAGAAAGCGCAGGGTTTGCAACACAAAAAGTAGCCAGTCCTTCCCACCAAGAAGGGTCCAGCGCTGGGACACCACGTATCGCCCATTGGGCAGCTTGAAGTCTGTAGGCATCAATTCAGGGCAGGACTGGTAAGTCTCCCAGAGAAACACGACAACTCAAACCCATTTGGCAAACACATTGTTTTCCAGTCTGAAACCAAAGGTTGTGCTTCGGCGCCTTCTCCCGCCTGTGGTTCGTGCATCACGCTCCCCAGAGCGAGTTCTTTGGAGAGTACTGCTCCAGGGCCTGTAGCGCCGATACGCAAACAGGCTTGTCGAGAGAGGGGGTTACGGGTTTGACGGCCGCCGTGTCTGGCACACGCGGGTGTCAAACAGGCTGGAACGTTCAGGTTAAATATCAGAGCAAGAAATAAGTCTGAATCGGCGCCATCTTCAGGCGCCATCAGGTAATTACTGGGGTTGGCTTGCAGGGTGATGCTGCTGGTCGCAGTTGAACATTGCAGGCGCCACGGGCTCCTTAGTTTTAGGGCATCGTTTTCCACACAAAAAGTAAGGTTTGGGGCACCTGCTTTCACCAAAAGGGCTATACCTATACCCCTAAGTAAGGGAAACCGCAAGAAACCGTACTTGATGCCATCCAGCAAACAAACACCACCGACAAGTGACAGTCAGACTGTGTCCTCTGAGTTGATCTTGCCCCATTCTTCACGTTTTTGGGTTACTTGGGCCTTCTGCCCTGTGAATTGCTGGAAGTAATCTTTCCGGTTATATACAGCGGCAGCTCACCAATGCTCACATGAGGCGAGGTATGGCTCTGGCTTTTTGCAAGATTTGAAACATATCTTGCTTCTGGCTCCCCATCCGAAGCGTAGAACATTTGCTTGATCAACAAAAGGCCGAGAAGGAGACAAGGACATTCCCGAGAAGGATTCGGCTTTTGCAGTTTGAGCCCAGCAGTTTGAGTCCTCGAAGCAAGTTTCTTCTTGGGCTTCGCGGCCGGCCGCTTTGTCGCCCTCATCGCCGACGCTGTCCGCTTCATACTGCCACTGCTGCTCTTCTGCTCTTGACTGACTGCTGCACTGCTGTTCCGCTATTCCTGCTGCCATCTCGGGCAAAGTAGTTTGGGTCCCTGACTGGCGTTGGCCTTCAAGTTGGCAGCACTGCAAGCCAAACAACCCAGAGCGTGAAACAACCAAGTCCCACGAAAGTTCATTAACAATACTGTACATTTCAAGATCAGTTGGCACAAAGAAACCGCCAGCCGAGACTCAAGGTTCGAACCGACGCTTTTGTGGCCTGGCAATTTACCTCGGGGAAAGCGCTTTTGCGCAACAGCTCATTCCACACCCACTCCAAATACCCGCTTTCTTCAGGGTACGAGGTCGACCCTCTGCTAAAAAAGGAGGTTTTTAACATGGAAAACAGATCGGATTTCCCAAAAATACCCTGAAAAAAACGGGTCTTTTGAGTAGGGGGTAATTTTCTAGGTCCAAGTTAGGTACTTTCACAAGGAGGTATTTACCCTTGAAAACCCCGGTTTTCTCAACAAATACCCCGATAAAACTGGGTATTTAGAGTAGGGGGTATCAATGCCATACATATCCCCTGCTCAAAATACCCGCTTTTTTCAGGGAATTGTTGGGAAAATATGGTTTTCCAGGGTAAAACCTCCTTTTGTAGAGGGTCGACATGATACCCGAAAAAGAGCGGGTATTGGAGTAGGGGGCACATGGACCGGCCCTGGCCATTGGCTATGCATCCGAGCTGCTCTGTACAACATGCCGAGGTATTGATCCACCTCGAACCGCGTGGATTCAAGTTGGAAAGTCCAACCCAGGACCCATCAAGACACCCTTGGTTAGTGCCGCACTTTTGGTTTGCCACTCAAATCTGGCCTTCCCCCCCCCAAAAAAAAAAAAGGAGCCCAAGAACCCAGGAAGTGAGTAAATTAAGGGCATGTTCTGATAGATCGAATCCTTCACCTGAGACATCCCCTGAGAACCTGATTCAATTGCTCCCAGCACCCCCCCCTTTTGCTTCGGGTTGCAGCCCCCGGGGGGTTGGTGGCCAGGGCTGGTTTACCCTCAAGGGCTTCAAATCCCCAAACCACCAACTCACGGTAACCTGGTTGTTGCGCCAACATTGTGGCAGGCGAATTCCTCTTTTTGGGCTGGATTGGTACCTAAACGGGTTGGTCACGATCCCCAGTGGTTAAAAAGCAAGAGGGCGCCGTTTTCGGTCGCTTACTTTAAAGGGACACACCCTGCAAAATATGTTTAGACCCTTGAGCTACTCAAAACAATTGGGTAATTGCATTGTTGCCAACCAAATTATGGTTCGTGGTGTCCCTGTCCAAAGGGTAGTTTGAGGCCGGGGCAAACCCAAAAAAGTGACTGAGACCAAAAGACTAATACTAAAACCCAAGGACTCAGAAAGTGAGGTGTTCGTCGAGGCAGCAGGAAAAAATGACATACACGCGCCCAGGCCACCATGTCGCGCCCGTCATCCGCGAACTGCTCGTGGCTTCGAACCAAATCCTCGGTGGGGTGCGTACCCCGTCTTTCAATACCCAGAGGCTCCCAATTGATTTAGGGCCTTCAAACAACCTTGAGACCCCCAACCACAAATTCGCAGGGTGTCTAAGGGAGGGGTCGGGTCTTCCATTGAAAGCTCCTGAGGACACCACCAGGGGCTGTCTTTTTCTTGCTGGTGCCCAGCAGGGAATGAGGGAAAGACCTCGATAAACCGTCCCCTATGCTTTCGTTGAAGGGAATCCCCGGGTTCATTCCCTACTCAGCACCAGCAAGTTGTTTGGGGAAACCGAAAGAAAACCCCACCCGTGTTAAGGGTATCCCTCAAACCCATTCTACTTGTTTCGGCCTTATACAGTACCAAGAGACCATCGCGGACTCCTGTCCTTTCGTCCCCTTACTGCCCAGTTTGGACCTAGAACGAAAGTTGATCACCGCTTGGCCACCAAAAGGCCAAACCGGGGCAACCAACAGGTCAAAAAGCTTTGGACAACTGAGAGTACAATACTCCCCAATCTCATTCAATCCTTGCTGACTCCATGACTTCGGTGTCAGCCAACCAGTTGGCCAATGGGCATGAGGAACAGGCCCGAACGCTGACTGTTGAATGAACATTACGAAGCATGCTAGCATAAAAGTGCATATTCTTGAACGCTTCTAGCGTGGATCTATGTAGATCTGCAGTTCATCAGGTATTGACTTGTCGTGTGATGCAGCACTGCGGTTCATGTACCACCCATTGCCTTCCAGTAGCCACTGTGCTGGGGAACCACCATTTCTGTACCAGGTAAAAAAAAAGAAAAACAAGAGAACAAAAAGAAAGAACAAAAGAGCCGGCGACTTCATTGTGCTGGCTCCAACCGGGTCGCAGTGGATTCCGGGGCAAGGGCACCCTTTTGTTAGTGATTAGATGATGTTCAAGCTGCCCACCTCCAAATAGAAGGGAAGCAAGGAACAACCCAGTGGGTGTCAAGTTGGGAACCGGACCCCCAAAGGACCGATTCCTTTTTTCTGCCTTTGTACCCCTTTGTTTTTGGGTCAAAGGCAGAAAAAAAGGAATCGGTCCTTCGGGGGTCCAGGGAGTTGGGAAAACTCTTTCCACAAAAGGCCCCGGGGCTCCGCAAAACGCAGGTCTCCGCGCCCCAAAGGCCCAAAGGACGGAACTGAACCACGGAACTGGGCTCCCAAGACTTCCCGGTAGCAGTCTCCCATTCAAAGTACGCCCAAAATCTGCAAATACCCACTCGTTTGAGAAAGTTCGAGGGGGACAATGCCAACCCCTGACTAAACATGAAGGCATTCTATATCCTTGTCCGGGCAAATTAGTAAGTGGTTGCTCACTTGGGCTTGCAACTTTCTAACTTGGCAAATCGAATATCCACGAGACCCATCCTTTGGTGGTTAAGGGGTGTTTTCCCACATACCCACACAGGGCCAAGCAGGTTCAAAACCAAATCCAACCCAATCCAAACCAAGAGGGGAGTAACCGACATTCATATGTCCTTTTGCAGCATACATGAGAATGGTGTACTGATGCGTGTTGTTCTGAGTTTTGTCAGGTATTTCACAAACGCCCCCATGGCAGGCCCTTCTGAACCGAAAATTCCACCCCCAAAAGCCCAAAAGCCGCACCCGTCGGAGCGTCGATGGTGCGCACCATCACCGGCACCAGCCACTTGGCATCCTCCGTCCGCCTATCGAGTCGGGGGAAGAACCCCACAAACTGGATCCCCCAAGGACCGGGTCATGTGGCTCTCGCTCCGGTGAGTGGAATCACTCGGTTTTGCGGCGGAAAGCCCCCAGTTCAAATGCGAAATACGGGCCACCAATGAACATGGAACCCACCAGACTGGAGCCCCGAAAGCTAGCGAGTACCCTCTGTTTTTCGTCTGGACCGAGTCTGGACCCTCAAACTGCCCAAGACGGGTTCTACGGGTGGGTTGGGGCCCAAAACTGTGGGGTGAAGGCCATTCCTTTCTGGGTAGTTTGGTGGTCCAGGTATTTACCAACATGACCTATCATAGATATACCGGAAAATCGCATAAGTCAGATCCCACGAGTGATTCATCATGATTCATCCCCTCCCAAAATCCTTAAGGGGCGATCGATTCGTATGTCAGGTAAGTGGTTGGTAAGCCTTCCCTTCTGAACGGAGACTCGCACAGGCTTTCCGAAGAAGCCCAGACCTGAACCCCAAAAACTGGAGCCAAGGACCGGGTCACTCCGGTGGAATCACTCGCCTTCCGGCAGAAAGACCCCAGTTCAACCGCGAAATACGGGCCACCAGACTGGTGAGCCTGGTGGCCCCGAAAGCTACAACTACCTCTTGCTTTTTTTATCGTGTGTGTTTGCAAACTTTGTTTTCCTCCGCGGGGGGGGGGGGGGGTGGGGTAAGGTGTACTTTCTTCCTGCCTGCTCCAAGGTAAGCTTCACCGTGGCTTATTTCCCCAAATCGCATCCCTGGTTTTGCCTCCTTGAGGGCTGATCAACATCATATGCCGTCATACCCTTCAACAACTGGGCTGTCCAAACTGATCCCCTGCCGAACTGTTAACTTTTAGTGGTGAATTGGAAACCCCCACTAAACCCGTGGAAGTGGGTATTGCGTCGGTTGCGGTAGTAAAACAATGCAAGCCACCAAACGTCCACAGCTCGCCCGCAGATTCATACCCAAGGCGCATGATCCAGGTGAGCAACTGCTTCGCGAAAGTGGTCTTGCCGCCCGCTGGGTCACCCTTCACCATCAACCTGCGAAACCGAGCCAGCGACTTGGTGGACTACCCGGACGGGTCGCGGAAACAACCCTGAAAACATTGGATATTGCCCCAAGTTCCATGCGAAAATTTCACCCCCGTATAGGTATTGTAGTGTTTGAGGGTCCAGGTTCCCAAAAGCACCTTGCTTAGACCCCTAAAAGTGTAGGCCAAAGAAAAGGGAACAGCGCAGCCACCCCTCCCCCCCAAAAAAACGAGACGGTTGTTCAATCAGGGGTTCTTGGAGCAATCCCAAGCCACCTGCTTCCATCCATTCTGACCTCACCTGATCTTCACGGATGGCATCCTGCGTGCCTAGGAGGTGGCTCCCCTAGTCTTCCTTTTGGTTAAGACCCCTAGAAAAAAACAGAACAAAAAGCATCTTTCAAATTTCCAGTATACTGAAATCGAAACTTTTTAAAACCAACAAGGGAAAACAAAACCAAACTCTTAGGCAACCGGAGGTAGTTGGGGTTCATTTTGTTTTGGTGGAGCCCTCAAGGTTCCAAGTCGACCTAAAAAAAGCAACAGGGCGCTGAATCCCAGGGGCCCAGGGGACGGGGGGAGACGTGGAACTGAGCTACCTACTACTGGTGCTGGTGGTGTCACGGGGTTTTCTTGTTGAAAATAACAAATCAAAAGAGAGGCTTCCCATGGAAAACTACATGACGTCCAATTGATCAAAATGACAGAATCACTACATGAAGACTGGGCGAGGGTATGGCGAGGGTATCCCCACTCCAAATAGAAGCATGAACATGGATAGTTCTTTGAAACATCTGGTGTTTCCGTGGCAAATACCAGTTGCCTGACGTTTTTTCTTCCTGGAGCCTTTGGTCGGCTTCCATGCGCTGGAGAAACCAACGGAAAACCACCAATTCCCGGGTTCCCCGGTTTGGAGATCAAGCCAAACGTGCCCCCAACCATGCGCCAGCAAGTCCAGTAGTAATAGACTTTCTGAAAAAAATAGGTGAACTAAACATATCCTTAAACAATTTGAAGAAACCTCGCATCGTCGGACAGTCAACTCTTGACACCGACTACCTCCCACTTGGGCCGCTGCTGTCGTGTCTTGATCTGGTGCCTTGCCGGGGGACTTTCGGGTTGAACACCCCGACCCAACTTGATGGCGATTGAGGGTCCCCTCCAAAGGTGATGTCTGATTCCCCGCATGCAGGGACACCCCTATACTGGGGTTGATTACTATGGGGTCAACATTAACAAACCGTACTGGGCTGTCCGCGTTTTTGATCCCGCTAAAATTCGACATCAAGTGGGTTAAATGGAAACCCCCGCTAAACCAACTAAAGGCCTAAATCCTAAAAGGAACCGGAGGGCTGAACCGAGGCGAGTTGGACGAATCACCCATCTCCCAGATAAAAACGGTTGAAAGGCCCGACGATACATAGCAGTCAAGCAACTCGCTTTGCAACTCCCATCCCCTCCACATGATTCCCCTCCGACGCCTCCGAGCCTACTTGGACCAAAGCGGGGTCTCTTGAGATCGAACACCTGAAAGGTACCCAAAACCAACCAACACTTCACCCCCTTTGTTTCGTCATAAAGGACCCGGGCGCTGAAGATCGGGGTCCGCAAAAAAAAACACCACCTTCTTTGCTTTCTTTCCTCAGGCGGGGTCAATGAAAACTTATGGTGGCTTTGTACTTATCATCAGGGTTTTTTCTTGGGGTATGAATATTGGATGGTCACTTGCCCAGTGACACTTCTGTGTATCACCAGGTTTGTGATGTCCACTTTGGATAAGGTTCTTGGAGCATCCGCAGCCTAGGTCACCCACTTGGAGTATAACCCACTAACAGTGTTAGCTGCACTGAACGGGGGTACTTTTTAGTGGGCTATAGCCTGCAGGTTCCCGTTACAGCACAAGCTAGCACGCAGCTTGAACCGTGCTGCTCCTGCGTCCAAGCGTGCGCCTGAGCCGCACCAGGGCTAAAAGTAAGCCAGCAACTGGAGGTGATGGTCAAACTCAATTGTTTACCCCACATGGACCATGGACTACTGGCAGTGGTGACCTCAGGTTCAAGTGTATTTGGTGTTTGGCTTGAGGTTTCGTCTTTGACACCCCGGGAACTGAACAGGGATCCGGATGCATTATACACCTGAACATTGCAACTCGTCAATGGTGGTTTCCCTTTATTTTGGTGGAAAAAGCCATGTCCGCCGACATTGTTCGGCGTGTCGCATACC